TCCTTCAACACGACCTTAAAGAGACAAACATCCACAGTGATCTTAATCTCTGCTCATAAATAAATCTCTAGCGGAATAGGAAATACAAACAAAATGGTAAATCCTGACGTCTAGTGATGATTTTGCAAATTTAACATTTACATTTATCAAGTTTCTTATCTTCATTGGAAGCAATACAATACAACTTTGCATTACACATAAGATTTTAATAACAAAAAGTTTCCAAAATACTCTATCCAGTAAAGGTGTGTGTGCAAACCGCTTGGATGCATACAGAACTGAAGAACATACTCCAACAACTTCTGAAAATTTTGTGACATAACAAAGACATGACCATGATAATTGCCTTACACTGGGTATTTCCTTCACCTGCCATTGCTATTATCCATGGGTGATAACACACTGAATTGTACCAGTTCACAATAAATACCAAATCAATTTAATCATTCTAAGGTCTTGAGAATATCATGTGATTCTTATTTGTAAACATCTTGTATCCAAATACAACTGGGTGGACTTTAACATTTTGCATCTATCTACATCAAAGCCCCTGAGCTATTGTTTCAAAATGAATTATCAACATAAGCAAGCATGCACAGGTGCTAGACTACTGCTTAGTCCCTGAATATATGTAAATTTGATAATAACAAATAAACCCATTTAAATTGAAAAGGAGCCTCGGAAATCTAGACTTGCTTCATTTAGGGCTTTAGCATTGCAGGGAGGGCAAGGCGGTAGGGAAAATAATGTGATTCAGGGACTGTGAGACAGACCAACACAGATACGTGCAAATGTAAGCATCCCCAATTTGATAACCAGACAAGCAAGGATGAAAGAGTTACCTCCCTTCCTCGATGCAACTGCTACTGCATTGATCAACATTGTCCCTTTGGTCCAATATCAAAGTCACATATTCACACACGCAAATAAAATAATCAATTTCCTCATTGAGACCTCTCTTTGACTACTCTGATAAAACTATGTCAGCATTCTATTTGATTATTTTCATTTCTTGATAATTATCATGATAGCACAAGAAACAAGAATTAGCATGCAGCATGCCTCGCTCAATAGCAGGCAGTACAACTGTAAAGTGGAACTGATATTCACTGTTAGATTTGACTGTAGTCTGTAGTGTGCTATCTCACACACAGATAACGTAATAACTATGTTATCCAACTTTTGGTTCTTCTCTTGAGTCAACTTGATCATTTTACAGTCTTCGAAGAATTCCGAAACTAAAATGTCTAAATTATGTGAGGAATTATTGATATTTCTGTGTCAAATTTACATGCAGCCTTAGAACATAAACATAATTTTACATATGGAACTCTATCACTTGTACATGATGTAGCACATTCAATAAACTAGTGTACATTTTCTAGTTACTTTATCCATCAGCATGTGTGTCTGTATACAGTGTTACTAAACTCACAATGCCCTGCCATACAAAACACAAGTAAACAGTCTGCAACATGAACAGCAGCCAGCAGTTCAGTAACAATGATTCTTCCTGAACATTTGCTATGGCCACAATGAATTATTCAGGATTCTACCTGTAGGTGTTAATCAGTATGAAAAAACTAATTACTTCAACACTTCAATCAATGTTAATGGTACGTCTGGTGCTGTTGACAAGCAGAAGAGAGTAGCAATTCGTGTAACCATGGTAACACCACTATGCCCACCCCTCCTTGATATCATTACACCACTGCCCTGGATGAACCATCCATTCTTCATCAACATATTCATCACTTTTAGCTGAAATTCGTACCAGATAATTAAATACATGTCATAACACTTCCGTAGCAGCCAAAGCTCTTCAAAATAGTCTGATTTGGTAGAGAAGATGTGGTGGGACAAGAATGGGGAGTGTGGGGAAATTGGGAAAGTACTAATCACAAGTATTGGGAAATTGGGACAAGTACCCATGATCAGTAAACTGTGTTGGACTCTCAGTTGGACTTAAAAAGCTGGGTTTCAAATTCCTTGCAATAAGAGTACCAAAGACACTATGAAAATACTCAAAACGTAACAGTTAAGTTCTGGTGCCTGAAGAGGCATCTAATAATTATGTTCTCTAATGAATTCATCAGTTCCAGTAAACTGAGACAACAACAGAGACAGGCGATACAGACATAGTAAACTACAGACAAAAGAAACTCTACGTGACTGGGGAAATCAGTTTTTCATGGCTCATTACTCTTGAAACCTATTCCACCATTTAGGATTTCCTCACTATTCACAGTATAACTCAGGCCATGCAGAAATTGGACTGAATATTTCAAGTATGTTTATAAGAACAGCAAATAACAATTCATGTCAACATTTTGCCATTGTAATATATAGAAACAAAGTCTCTGCGACATTCTAGATACTTATATCACAGAGCAGGGATAGACATGCATTTTGAAGGGTGCATAGGGCACCAAACCCACAATTTGTGAAAATAAGGGTGCCCATAGCTTTTGATGATCCAATTAAACTTAAAACATCACAACAATTATGTCCTCTCAGTTTACTGTTTAGTATATCAGAAAACATCAGGTGAAACTTGTAAATTTGAGAGCAGGATTTCCAGAACACTGTCAGTTCATGCCTGTCAGTTCAGGTTCATGTGTCCTGCACCCATGTACTATGTTACCATCCAAAACAAGATTTCCTCTTCTGTGCACTGGCATTGAAACTGGCCACACCCATGTTAAACTGTGAGATTGAGAAGGCCCCATTATGATGTTGTACAAAAGTAGGTATTGCATTTTCATTTTAATCAATCATGGTGAGTAATATTTTTATAATTTTAGGTGTGCCGCCAGCAGAGGTACAGATAAGCTGCGTATCTGCGTAAATTACGCAAATATTTATGTGAAAACTCAATTCCTATTACGTCTGTTGCGTACAAGTACGCTTGTATTTTTGTAAATACTCAATAAGTTTGATTGTACATGCGTACACAGAAAACTATCAAATCTTAGCTTGCGTACCAGTGGATAGATAAAGCAACTGAGGTATATTTAGAAGTTCTATTTCGGCACATGAACACTCACCTAGCAGTCTTTCATATCGTTTCTCGTATTACAGATCAAATATAAATAACAAACACTAACATTTAAACTTTATTATATTTTAACATTTAATGGGAAAAGGCAAAATACCCAATTGATTTTGAGTGAGGTGAGTACAATTTGTTTGGTTACTCAAAGGAAAATTAGGATACCCAATTGAGATGAAGACAAGCGGGTACATAACTCAATGACCCAAAAAGTTATCTGTAGCTCTGCGCCAGGGCACACTGACAATATTTCTTCCGTGCAATGGCACGCACATTAGGCACTATTTGATCTCTGCAGTACATAAGTACTGAAAGCCATCTTAAGACGTACACAACAGAAACTGTGACGTCAACTTCCAGGCATCACAACGACACTTTTAAACAGACGTCACCTCACGTGAGATGGTTTAACATTGCATCTAGTAAACATGCAGACCTATGAGAGACACATGCTGCATGATTGAACATGTATCTGTTTCCCCCAGGCAAGTGAAAGTTGCAACAAAAAGATGTGACTGTGTGGGTATGCTGCCAAACAATGGGAGTGTATTTGTCAAAGATACTGAGGTTCAGGGCGGTGGGGTAGCCTAGTGGCTAAAGCATTCGCGTGTCACGCCAAATACCTGGGTTCCCGATTCCCCACATGGGTACAATGTGGGAAGCATATTTCTGGTTTCTCCCGCCATGATGTTGCTGGAATATTGCTAAAAGCAGCTTAAAACCGTATTCACTCACTCAGTGTCTATGAAAGCATGTGTACTGTATTGGTGATTGGATACTTAGTCAGGTCTCGACTTAAAGCAACTTGACCGAAATTGCACCAAGGTGCAAGTTGACACAAAAACTAGGGTGCACTCTGGTGCCATAAATTTATGAAATTGAAATCTAGAGTGTCTGCAGCCAGTAAGCCATTAATTAAGGACTGCGATGCCAAACATAAAGGACCACATGCACGTTGTAATCTTGATGTACCTTCTGTCTGATGACATCAAGCCCATTATGGATGACACATTATATAAAGACAGAGATTAGTAATGGAGTGAGTTGAAGACAGCATCTTTTCTACCAGTTACATACAAGTTGTTTCATTCCCCGCTGACACAGACTGACACCACACTTAGTTGGAACAGTTTGTAACTCTGGTAAAACATAGTTTTGTGTGTCTTGTGGATGAAACTTCAGCCTTTAATTATTTATATAAACTCATTAATATCATACAATAAAAGAAACTACCAGCTAAATGAGAACTGGAATTTGAACTTGGTCATCATAAACATCATTATTATTTTTAAGTGTTTTAGAGAATGGGTTAACTGCATAAATAGAATAAGATGATATAATTTTAGCCAAACTGGTGCAAAATATTGCTGAGATCTATGTTACTAAGTCTCCTCTAAAGGGGTATTATCAATCTCAATGAAATAGGATGGGGAGCATGTTACATGTCTCAAATGGACACTTTACAACCAATCAAAGTTTATGTTTGTATCAACAAGAAGCTTAGTTGTGGCTGACACCCAGCAAGTATGTCGTGTGACGTGCGGAAGGAGAGAGTACTCACCCCATGCCGTGTTCCCGGTCCATCGGACTGGGCATCGGCTGGGAAGGCATCCTGGGAGGGGGGAAGACCTGGTAGTCCGTCCAGAGTGACTGATCCGGTCTTGTCGTGCATCAAAATATGCCTGGAACAAAGAGGATATGTTACAATCTACAGCCGACAACTGAGGCACTGATCCGGTCTTGTTGTGCATCAAAATATGCCTGTAACTAATAGGATATGTAACAATTTACAGGCGACAACTGAGGCACTGATCCGGTCTTGTTGAGCATCAAAATATGCCTAGAACAGAGACAAGACATGTTACAACCTACATCTGATACCATCATGTCGGCAGTTTTCGTTATACACAGGCTCAACATACATGAGTAATACCAACACAAAAGCAGAATGGTAGCCAACTGGCTGTCTGATCAAGTCTCACATGAGCCGGTGTTGTTGAGCCAATCCACTCATCAAACGATAGTTTGTTAGCCTGAATGCTAAAAGTCAATATATATGTGAGCATGCATGTTAAGCAATACTAAATAACACAAAAACAACGTTTGAACAACCACTCAGAGTATATCGACCACCACGTGGGCAGCAGAATCAATACAGCCATATAATGTGCCAGTAAAATTCCACCTAAAGCATGTGAAGATAATGCATCCAATTACACTCCTGGAGTTCAAAGGAATTGATCCCAGGCGTTCCACACTTCCATTTTATCCTCAACTACCTGTCCTCTACTTCAAAACCCTTCATCATCACCTACCTGTCCTCTACTTCACTTCCCTTCATCATCAACTACCTGTCCTCTACTTCACTTCCCTTCATCATCAACTACCTGTCCTCTACATCACTTCCCTTCATCATCAACTACCTGTCTCTTCCTACTTCCCTTCATCTCACTACCCCTCATAATCATCAACTACCTGTCCTCTACTTCACTTCCCTTCATCATCAACTACCTGTCCTCTACTTCACTTCCCTTCATCATCAACTACCTGTCCTCTACTTCACTTCCCTTCATCATCAACTACCTGTCCTCTACTTCACTTCCCTTCATCATCTATACATCAACCACCTTGTCCTCTACTTTCACCTCACTTCCCTTCATCATCACCTGTCCTCTACTTCACTCATCAACCTGTCCTCTCACTTCCTTCTCATCATCAACTACCTGTCCTCTTCACCTCCTTCATCATCATCCACCTGTCCCTCTACTTCACTACCTCATCAACTACCTGTCCTTCTCACCTCTTCCCTTCATCATCAACTACCTGTCCTCTACTTCACTTCCCTTCATCATCAACTACCTGTCCTCTACTTCACTTCCCTTCATCATCAACTACCTGTCCTCTACCTCACTTCCCTTCATCATCAACTACCTGTCCTCTACTTCACTTCCCTTCATCATCAACTACCTGTCCTCTACTTCACTTCCCTTCATCATCAACTACCTGTCCTCTACTTCACTTCCCATCATCAACCACCTGTCTTCACTTCCTTCATCATCAACTACACTGTCCTCTACTTCACTTCCCTTCATCATCAACTACCTGTTGTCCTCTTCACTTCACTTCATCATCATCAACTACCTGTCCTCTACTTCACTTCCCTTCATCATCAACTACCTGTCCTCTACTTCACTTCCCTTCATCATCATGTCCTCTACTTCACTTCACCTGTCCTCTACTTCACTTCCTTCATCATCAACTACCTGTCCTTCTCATCTTCACTTCCCTTCATCATCAACTACCTGTCCTCTACTTCACTTCCCTTCATCATCAACTACCTGTCCTCTACTTCACTTCCCTTCATCATCAACTACCTGTCCTCTACTTCACTTCCCTTCATCATCAACTACCTGTCCTCTACTTCACTTCCCTTCATCATCAACTACCTGTCCTCTACTTCACTTCCCTTTCATCATCAACTTCTGTCCCTCTACCTCACTTCCTTCTATCATCAATCTACCTGTCCTCTTCACTTCACTTCATCATCAGGTAATTCCAACTCTTCCACTTTCATCATCATTAACTACCTCGAAACCTCACTTCACTTCATCATCAACTACCTGTTCTACTCCTCTTACTCTTCACATCATCAACTACCTGTCCTCTACTTCACTTCCCCTTCATCATCAACTACCTGTCCTCTCTACTTCTTCATCATTAACCACCTGTCATCTAACTTCACTCTTCATCATCAATACCTGTCCCTACTTCACTTTCTACTTCTTCATCATCAACACCTGTCCTCTACCTCACTACCTTCATATCATCAACATTTGTCCCTACTTCACTTCATCATCATCAATACCTGTCTCTCTCCCTATATACTTCATCACAACCTATCTGTCCTTCACCTCACTTCATCATCACTACCATTTGTCCTCTACTTCCTCACTTCACCCTTCATCATCAACCATCGTCCTCTACTTTCACTTCACTTTATCATCAACTACCTGTTCACTTCCCTTTCATCATCCACTCGTTCTCATCACTTCCCTTCATCACCTCATTTGTCCTTACTTCACTTCATCATCAATCCAATTTGTCCTTCTACTTCACTTCCTTATCATCAACACTGTCCTCATCAATTTTACCTTCATCAACAACCTGTTACTTCATCAACTAACTGTCCTCACTACACTTTCATCATCAATCAATCGGACCCTCTACTTCACTTTCTCATCAACTACCTGTTCTACTTTTACTCTTCATCATCAATTTCATCCTGTCTACTTCTTCACTTACTTCTATCATCACCTATTTGTGTCTACCAATTTACTTCTTCTTCATCATTAACTCCCTTGTCACGGCCTTTCACTTTATCAATTAGACTGTGTCCTAATACCTCTTCATTAACTGCCTCTGTTCTCACTTCTTCATCATCAACTTGTCCTACCTTTAGAGGTTCATTCATGAAGCAACTCCTGTCCTCTACCTACTTCCACTTCTCATCATCAACTTGTCCATTTTCACCACTTCCCTGTCAGACATCAACTACCTGTCATCATCCATTCACCCCTTTAACTACCCGTCTCCACATCAGCTTACCTTCATCAACTACCTGTCCTTCAATATCAATGACTCATGAATCACGGCAGTACCTTGTTCCACCGGTACGTCACCAGAACCCAACTGTCCTCACCTCACGTCCTTCACTATCACCGGTACCTGTCCTCTATCACGACTTCATCAGCAACCAACCCCTTGTCTACTTCACTTCCTTCACACATCAACTACCCGTCCCTCCTCATACTCTTCATCAATAACCACCGTCCTTTGCACCTCACTTCCGTTCATCAACCGTCCTCACTTCACTTCCCTTCATCAAACTCGTCCTCACCACTTCATCATCAACTACCTGTCCTCGACCTTCATCGGCAACCTCAGTCCTCACTTCACTCTCCATCACCCTTGTTCACGAGCCTTGTCCTCTACTTCACTTCCTCATCATCAACTACTCACAGGTCTCTACGCAAGTTGTCCTCACATGCCCTGTTCCTTCATCATCACTGTCCTCTACTTGACTTCCTCTCATAAGCACCCTCAATTTCCCTTCATCATTTACCGGTGTTGTTGTACCATTTCTTTCATCATTAACTCCCTGTGTTCTACTTCATTTCTTCATCAACTGCCTTTGTTCACCATCAACTACCTCGTCCCTGCAATTTCACATCAAACCCACTTCACTCTCCACGGCCAACTACCTGTCCTCTACCTACTCTCTCATCAACTCACAGCCCTTAACTCTCCCCTCATCAGCACCACCATGTCCTCTCTACCTACTCTTCATCATCTACCTGTCCTCTACCTACTTCCTTCATCATCAACTCCATGTCCTCTACCTTCACATTTCTTTTCATCATCAACTACTCCAACTCTCACTACAATACCCTTCATCAACTAAGCACTCATCAACAGCCTTCCAGAAACCAGTTCGAACCCTCAAGGTCAATGAGGTACAATGATACACAGTCTGCCAACTACAGCATTTCACTCTCAGTTGTCTACCAAAGTCTACCACAGTATCAATACCAGTGCAGTATAGAGGGTGAAGCACCCTCACAGCCATGTCTACAATCATAGAGGTCATGAGCACCTCACGGCCTCACCAGTATGAGCTTTATCATGGCCTTGTTCGGAACGATCCACCAAGAAGCACCTCACCTGCCTTGCGCACAATTTAAGCATAGAGGCACACATACCCTCACCTGCCTTATGGACACATGAAGCACCTCACAGCCTTGTTCACCAAAGAGGCACATTATGACCTGCCTTGCTCAGCATAGGCAGCACATGTCCCCACAGCCTTGTTGCATAGAGGCACACATGAGCATATAGAGGCAACACATTAAGCACCCTCACCTTGTTCACCAGCAGAAAATGAAGCACCCCACGGCCTTCTCAACCATTTTATCACAGCCGAGCGTTAACAGATTCACCAGCACTGAAGGACACAGAACACCTCAATGCCGTCATCTGGAACTTAAGCATCGCCACTTATACTTAAAAGATGAAATGTTTACAGACGCATTGTGCTATGACGGACTTCATGGCTGTCTGTTTGCATTAATTTATGTATGATTTACCGAGAACATCGGATTTTCACCTTTTGATTCAATTTATTTAATGATTTACTCGAACATATTGACAACAGCTATTGACGTATCTTTATAATATGATAACAACACATACCCTTGTTGCCCATCGGCGACCAGTGGCATGGTTTTTTATTCACCCAGAAAAACTTCTATTTTCCTTGGGCCTGGGGGCGAGCGTTGATTTCTATCACTGTCATGGCCTTGTCTACCAATATAGTTGGATATATGAAGCACCTCATGGCCTTGTCTACCAGTATTGAGGGACACAAGGACACATGAAGCACCTCATGGCCTTGTCTACCAGTATGGAGGGAAACATGAAGCACCTAACGGCCTTGTCTACCAGTATTGAGGGACACAAGGACACATGAAGCACCTCATGGCCTTGTCTACCAGTATGGAGGGACACATGAAGCACCTCACGGCCTTGTCTACCAGTAAAGAGAGGTACACATGAAGCACCTCATGGCCTTGTCTACCAGTATAGAGGGACACATGAAGCACCTCATGGCCTTGTCTACCAGTATAGAGAGACACATGAAGCACCTCACAGCCTTGTCTACCAGAATGGAGGGACACATGAAGCACCTCGCAGCCTTGTCTACCAGTATTGTGGGACACATGAAGCACCTCACAGCTTTGTCAGCCAATATGGAAGGACACATGAAGCATCTCATGAACTTGTCAACCAACAGCCTTGTCTACCAGTATTGAGGGACACAAGGACACATGAAGCACCTCACGGCCTTGTCTACCAGAATGGAGGGACACATGAAGCACCTCACGGCCTTGTCTACCAGAATGGAGGGACACATGAAGCACCTCACGGCCTTGTCTACCAGCATTGAGGGACACATGAAGCACCTCACGGTCTTGTCTACCAGAATGGAGGGACACATGAAGCACCTCACGGCCTTGTCTACCAGCATTGAGGGACACATGAAGCACCTCACGGCCTTGTCTACCAGAATGGAGGGACACATGAAGCACCTCACGGCCTTGTCTACCAATATGGAAGGACACATGAAGCACCTCACGGCTTTGTCAGCCAATATGGAAGGACACATGAAGCATCTCATGAACTTGTCAACCAATATGGAAGGACACATGAAGCACCTCACGGCCTTGTCTACCAGCATTGAGGGACACATGAAGCACCTCATGGCCTTGTCTATCAGAATGGAGGGACACATGAAATACCTCGCAGCCTTGTCTACCAGTATTGTGGGACACATGAAGCACCTCACGGTCTTGTCTACCAGAATGGAGGGACACATGAAGCACCTCACGGCCTTGTCTACCAGAATGGCAGAACACATGAAGCACCTCACGGCTTTGTCAGCCAATATGGAAGGACACATGAAGCATCTCATGAACGTAGCCAAAATATGGAAGGACACATGAGGCACCTCACGGCCTTGTCTACCAGTATAGAGGGACACATGAAGCACCTCATGGCCTTGTCTACCAGTATAGAGGGACACATGAAGCATCTCATGGCCTTGTCTACCAGTATAGAGGGACACATGAAGCACCTCATGGCCTTGTCTACCAGTATAGAGGGACACATGAAGCACCTCATGGCCTTGTCAGTATAGAGGACACATGAAGCACCTCACGGTCCTGTCTACCAGTATAGAGGGACACATGAAGCACCTCATGGCCTTGTCTACCAGTATAGAGGGACACATGAAGCATCTCATGGCCTTGTCAGTATGGAGGGACACATGAAGCACATCATCATGGCCTTGTCTACAGTAGGAACTAGAACTAAAGATTATTTTATATATTATGTATCAGTGCTTCTCTCAGTTATGTATACATAATACCAGAGATTCTCAATGACCAATCATATACATAATGCAAGCAATTCTGTCTCTACCGTATACATAATACCAGCAATTCTGTCTCTAGAGTATACATAATACCAGTGATTTTTTATCACCCATGTATACATAATACCAGTGGTTCTCTATCACCTGTGTACACATAATACCAGTGATTCTCTATCACCTGTGTACACATAATACCATACCAGTACACATAATACCTCTCTATGTGTACACATAATACCAGTGATTCTCTATCACCTGTGTACACATAATACCAGTGATTCTCTATCACCTATGTGTACACATAATACCAGTGATTCTCTATCACCTGTGTACACATAATACCAGTGATTCTCTATCACCTATGTGTACATACATGTACATAATACCAGTGATTCTCTATCACCTGTGTACACATAATACCAGTGATTCTCTATCACCTATGTACACATAATACCAGTGATTCTCTATCACCCTGTGTACACATAATACCAGTGATTCTCTATCAATACCAGTGTACATAATACCAGTGATTCTCTATCACCTATGTGTACATAATACCAGTGATTCTCTATCACATAATACCATTCTGTATCACATAATACATAGTGATTCTCTCTATCTATCACCTATGTACACATAATACCAGTACCAGTTCTCTCTATCACCTATGTACACATAATACCAGTGATTACATGTGTACATAATACCAGTGATTCTCTATCACCTATCTGTCACATAATACCAACATAATACCAGTGATTCTCTATCACCTATGTACACATAATACCAGTGATTCTCTATCACCTGTGTACACATAATACCAGTGATTCTCTATCACCTGTGTACACATAATACCAGTGATTCTCTATCACCTGTGTACCAGTGACATAATACCAGTGATTCTCTATCACCTGTGTACACATAATACCAGTGATTCTCTATCACCTATGTGTATCACATAATACCAGTGATTCTCTATCACCTATGTACACATAATACCAGTGATTCTCTATCACCTGTGTACACATAATACCAGTGATTCTCTATCACCTATGTGTACATAATACCAGTGATTCTCTATCACCTATGTACATAATACCAGTGATTCTCTATCACCTATGTATACATAATACCAGTGATTCTCTATCACCTATGTACACATAATACCAGTGATTCTCTATCACCTGTGTACATAATACCAGTGATTCTCTATCACCTATGTGTACATAATACCAGTGATTCTCTATCACCTATGTGTACATAATACCAGTGATTCTCTATCACCTGTGTACATAATACCAGTGATTCTCTATCACCTATGTACACATAATACCAGTGATTCTCTATCACCTATGTACACATAATACCAGTGATTCTCTATCACCTATGTATACATAATACCAGTGATTCTCTATCACCTATGTATACATAATACCAGTGATTCTCTATCACCTATGTATACATAATACCAGTGATTCTCTATCACCTATGTACACATAATACCAGTGATTCTCTATCACCTATGTACACATAATACCAGTGATTCTCTATCACCTATGTACACATAATACCAGTGATTCTCTATCACCTATGTACACATAATACCAGTGATTCTCTATCACCTATGTACATAATACCAGTGATTCTCTATCACC